CCGACGGAGTTCATTTGGGAGCTGACGGAGGAGACGCCGGAGGGGCATCTGCCATTGACGAACGCCCTGCGAGGGACGCAGCTGATGAGCAACATTCTCAGCCATCCCGCGTTCGAGGACGCCATTGGAGGGGAACAAAACCTCGAAGAAGAAGAAATTGCAGGGGACGACAATGGCGGATTCAAGAACAAGGGCTTGAAATCGATGAGCGAGAGGATTTTCAAACGGGATTACAGCTTCTGAATTTGGGGATTTTGAAGAATACCCATTGGAATACGCATCGAATTGGCAATTGGGTTGTTTCGATTTGTGGTGAATTCGGTTTCATTTTGTTCTTCAGCGCTCTGGTTTTTGTTCCTCTTTCTCTCTCTAGAACACAGGGCAGTAATGCTAGTGGTGGCAAGTATATTTTTAAAAATAATAAAATGAAATTTGTTGCTAATTTTGATTGTGATTTTGGTATCTCATTCCCACCCATCTAAATATTTAATCTTCAACTTTTGTGGTTATCTTTATATAATTTTTTAAAACATTAAAAAAAAAAAATTCCATTATGTTTTTTGTTCTTTTTAAATTTTCGATTTTGATACTAGTAGAACTTGTTATTAACACTGCTGTACGAATATTGGCATGACATATTAGTTAGATAAAAGATGGCTAAAGAATTTTATGTTCGTTTCTTTATCTTGTTTAAGTCCGGAGAATGAACTGGTTAGATAAAATAAGGATGGATAAATAGAAAATTTTAGTTTCTAATATACGTTAAAACTTTGGTTTCTCTTAATTTCTTTATTACGTTTTTTACATTTCTTCGTAATATATTTGAATTATTTGCTAAATCTTAAAAACAAACACAAGTTTTTGAAAACTATTTTTTTTTTCAAAATTTTTGCTTAAATTTCGAAATCTTTTCTAAGAAGTTGATAACAAGGTAAAGAAATACACGAGTGAGAACAATTGTGGTAAGCTTAATTTTAAAAAACAGGAAATGAGAAAAAATAAAATAGTTATCGAACCTAAACTTTCAATTTGCAGTGTCCAATGAGTAGTTAGAATTTTTAATTTTGCGTTAGATGGGTAAACTATGATATTGAAAGTCGAAAGTTTTAGAGACCTATTAAATATTTTTAATTTAAAGACATATTAAGCATGCCTGAAAATTTTCATAAATTAAACGTGTAATATAATTTAAAATATATTATGATGGGTGGCAAAATGACAATTTTGGGTCGTTTTCACTCTGTGATGAATTTGATTGATTTATTCTGTGTCTTCATCTTCTCTCTCTAAGCACAGGGCAGTAGTAGTGCTGGAATAACAAAATGGAATTTGTCAATAATTGTATAATTTAAATATGATTTTGGCATCCTATACCCAACTTTTATTACTATTTTATTATTTTTGAACTTTCCTTGAACTTAAAAAATATTTTAAGGAAAAAAGTTTTAACTTTTATTTTTGGATTTAAGTGGGCAACTCATTTTTTTTAACTTCATTCATTTAAATCCTAAATTTGATTACCATTTAAACTCTATAATTGAATAAATAATGCAATTAGTATCCTAAACTATTTACATTTTTTTTATATCAAAATAATAATTGGTTAAGACATATACGTCGAAGAATCCTCACTCCAACTTATTGTTCAAGGGCTGATTTATTCTCTTGTCTTTCTCTACCCTCTCCCTAGACACCAAGCATCTAGAATAAAAATAGTACTTGGCGTTGTGATTGCATTCACTTAAATGGTTTTTTATATATATTTTTTTAAAATACATAATATATGAATAACGGAGAAACGCATAAAAGAAGTAGTAAGGATTCATATGAATTACTTAATGGTAAATGCCTCAAATAAATCAATCGAGTACACAAAAAAAAAATAATGATAATAATAATTCCCATGCATTTTTTTGACGAAGCATAGAGTCTTGCAGTTTCATTGACTAATAAGATTATCAAATGAAGTAGTGTTGAATATATTTTGAATAAGGAAATTTATTGGTAATTACATCATTAATTTAAGGAAAAAATATACCTTTAATCCATAAGATTTAAAATAGATTCCTATTTGGCACAAATTTAAAAAACTGACACTTTATCCTAACCTTTAGAAAATATTTTTCAAAAGGTCACCGGAAAAATAAGATAAAAAGAGAAAGAAAAGAGGAAAATGAGAAAAAATACCAACTAATTTAAAAAAATTAATAAATACCTAACTCACTAATCATTCTATTAGTGTCACTAACCTAAGTCTAACTATATTTAGTACAATAAACGTGGGAATGGAGAATTTAACCTCCACCATATATAGAAAGAGCAACATCTGTATATTTAGTTTAACTTATTTTCTAGTTTTCTAATAAATAGAAAGTTTAATAATAGTTTTTTTTTTTTTTAAACTGAAAAGAGATGTTTCTCAATTTCTCAAATTTTAAGTTAAAAAAGTGAACATTTTATACGAAAATTAAATATTCATATATATATATATACATATATTTTTTATCTCATAGTTATATTTATCTTTTAATATTTATCGTACATGTTATAAATAAAAATTGTACATGTTATAAATAAAAAATGATAAAATAATAATTTAATTTGAAAACGAGAAAAAAAAAAGAAAATTTTGATTTTTTAAACAATTATTAAAATCAAGGTTTTCTATGTTTTGGTTGATGTCACCTTTCATTTGAAATTACGCCCTTTGCCTTTTGCCTCTTATTTGTTTTAAACTTTCTCGTACAGTAAAATCCAATCCTCTCTTTTTTCGTTTTCATATCGTCTCAAATTTTGCAAATTCCTTCTTATTTCTCATCGAACCAACGATCTGGTGCTCCCAATATCTCTTCAATTCTTGTATTCGATTTGGTTTTTGTTTGTTGGTAGATGTAATGTAAATGGGTTAGAGAGAATGAGAATCTAAGGCAAATTATTCAAGATAAATGTTAACGAATTAGCGAGAGTAGGAGTAGCATCCACAAAACCTTTGGAGTTCAAAAGGTCACGTTACATGCAAGCTAATATTACATAAATTATAGTTCAAGTGAAATAAAGATAAATAGTAGATTGAAGAAAAAAACATGTAAGGTTTTCTTCACCTATGTCCTTGACAAACGAGCCTCCAACACGGCGACCATTGTCAAGAGTTCAAGAGTTCATACTTCTCTTTCTCCAAGCAATTTGCCTGTTGTTTTCATGCGTTCGCACACATTTCTTCAATAAATACATATTCGCTCTATCACACGTATTTTTGGTGTGTAGAGTATAATTTCTGTCTCACCTTACAACTTGGTGGTTGGAGATTCTTCGCCTAAAAACTCGATGGTTTCTTCCACTTGAACACAAGTCCACGCGGTGAAATAAGCTCAACATATGCGACAATACAAGACTAGACTCTATACAATGGATTAACAAGACTAGGCCAATTAATATTTCAATCCCTCACATTGAACCTACAATAATCAATAGTTTTGACTCGGTATCGTCTTGGTTTCTCAAACTCAAGATGTGATTTGCTTTCTTAATGTAGTCTGAGTGCAACATAGTGCTAGTGGACCAACAATTACACCACTCATGGAACCATCATTTAAGTAAACCCCGTAGTATATGATCAAGTAGTCGGGATACCAACAACTCACTAACTACTTTTAAAATAACATTCATACACTCTACACTTAGTGGTCATATTATAATATCTTCGTTCAATCTGATAACATCGTGTCCACCTTAGCCTCTTAAATATCTTGCTACGAAACCACCTCGACAATCAAGTCTTGAATTTAGAATCCCGAGAGTTTGAATTGTTTAAAAATGCAACTGTTGCCGTCCACAAGTCTTGCTATTAATACTTTCACCCTCGTTACTTTCATATGAAATGAAGAGTTTGCATAGACTACCGCAATCTAAACAAGGTAACAAAAAAAGATCATTTTCCGCTTACGTTTGTTAACTAAATGTTAGACCATCTTGTAGGTAATGAGTTTTACTACTTCCTGGATGGGTATTCGGGATACAACCAAATTACCATTGCTCTAAAAGATCAAGAGAAGACGACGTTCACGTGTCCATATGAGACATTTGCCTTTAGGCATATGCCCTACGATCTGCATCAATGACGTTTCAAAGGTGTGTGACAACCATCTTTCCAGATATGATAGAAAACATTCCTGAGGTTTTTAAAGACAACTTTTCGATTTTTTTAAAGTTCTTTTGATGAATGCTTATTGAATTTAGAAAAGATTTTACAAAGATGCGAACAAACCAATCTTGTTTTAAACGGGGAGAATTGCAATTTTATGGTACGAGATAGTCCTATTCCATAAGATTTCAAAAAATGGGATTGAGGTGAATCGTGCTAAAATAGATGTGATTTCAAAACTACCACCTCCCACGAATGTTAAAGGGATTAGAAGTTCTTTAGGCCACGAGGGTTTTTATAGAAGTTTTATAAAAGATTTTGCAAAGATTTCAAAACCCATTTGCCTACTTCGAGAAAATGATAGACCATTTGTGTTTGATGATGCTTGCATAATAGCATTTGAAACTTTGAAATCTACTTTTAGCTCGAYTCCAATCATAATAGAACTAACTAGGACTTACCCTTTGAACTCTGTTCAATGCTAGTGATTATGCTTTATGGGTAATTTTAGATTAGAGAAGGAATAAAGTTTTACATCCAGTATATTATGCAAGTAAGACTTTAACTAGAGCACAACTAAATTACACCAGTACTGAAAAAGAATTACTAACAGTTCTGTTTGCTTCCGATAAATTTAGGTCTTATTTGATAGGGAAAAAGTAATTTAACCACTTGCTTTTAAGTATTTGTTTGCAAATAAGGATACAAAACCACGTTTGATATGCTGAATCTTGCTACTTCAAGAATTTGGCATAGAAGTAGAGGATCGAAAGGGAATAGAAAACCAAGTGGCCGACCATTTGTCTAGGCTCGACTCCCCACTTCAAGAAGGTCAAGCGAAGATTCGAAAACAATTCGTAGATGAGCAATCACTTCGTATCAAAGATGTCCCTAGGCATGCCAACATTGCAAATTATCTGGTAAATCGTATTATTCTCCATGGATTCAACCGACAGCAGGTGAAAAAGTTTCTTCATGACGTTAAATATTATAGGTCGGTGAGTCATTTTTAAACCAACTTAGTTCTGATAGAATCTTCCGCATGTGTGTGGCAAAGGAAGAGCAAAAAGCAATCATTGAGGCTTGTCATACATCTCCATATAGAGGTTTTTCGAAACAGGCCAAAAGACCGCAACGAAGGTATTACACAATAATAAGTTCTTCTGACCCACTCTATTCCGTGACGCACATAACTTCACCCAAGTTTGTGATAAGTGACAAAGGACAATTAACATTTCTAAACTTAACGAGATGCCTCTAAACCCCATTTTGGAAGAAGAAATATTTTATGTATGGGATATTGATTTCATGCGCCCGTTCCCTCCTTTGTATGGTAAGAATTATATTTTGTTAGTTATCGATTACGTATGCAAATGGAAAAACTAAAATTCAAGTGGTCTGGACCTTTTAAATTTTCAAAATTTTTTTCTTACAGTGCCATTGAGGATTTAAAAGGAAATATTTTTAAACATAATGGCAACGTAAAAAAAATATTTTGGAGAAAATTAGATAGAGGGAAGACTTTTATGCAACTTTCAAGAAATAAGAGATTGAGAAATGAAAATTTTTTCCCTTTCTTGTCTAATTGAAATTTTTTTAAGGATTTTATGTTAAATTCGTTGGAATTATTTTTCTTTTGTTTTCATTTTCGAAATTTTACTCGTAGGTTGTTTTAACTAAAATAACATTTTTAGAAGGCCATATTTTTGGAAAATTCAAAAAAATTTCGTCGGAGGCGCCTTGGCCCAATCAATAAATCGTGGTTTTAATTCTAGGAGTTAGTTTAGATTTAAAACTAAGGAAGTGCGATAACTTTTCGTTTTTAAATCATATTTGGAGCTTAAAAAATATTTTGGGCTTTATTTTCAAAATTAAAAGATGAAGAAATTGGTAAGGAGAAGAACGAGCCTCCATTCTTTTCTTTCGTATTTCTTCGATATCTACAACTTCTTCTGCTCGAAATATTTCTTTCTCGTTATCATCCTCCATAATGCCCGTAAATTTTAATCTTCCAAATACCAAAAATTCAAATTTACCTCACAATGCCCAGAATTTTCGCTCAACGGTAGTAAATGGGGGTTTTTGGTCATTTTTCACTAATTTGACGTTGCAATAAGCCTCAATGAGTAGTCAATACAATGGGTGATTAGTCCAGTCTTAAAACTCACCTATTTGGGGCATTTTCCAGCAGCATTCGAACCACTTTTCAACCCTTTTACAGTAGCAATTCCATGTTACTCCAACAGGTACATACCTTCATATTTTCCATCCTTACCTGCTTATAGTTCGTACACATTCAATTATCCGACCTTCCCATTAAGATTCCAAAATATTTACACTCAAAAGCCGTCATTTCCTTCCAAAATCCTTATGTCCAACTGCAACCTCCAACTATTTTGGGATAAAGTTTGTCATCATTTAGCTATCCCCAAATTCTCCCGCCTATAATTAGAACCTCTACCCTATCATCTCAATTTATATTTTTAGGAGGGATTCCAACAAGTATCATTCGGGATCAAGGTATGCTCAAATTTGCGCCTTGGAGGGCCATTGAGACCTCTTAGCCTCCTCAATTGTCCATTACTTCGTCTCCCTCCCCCTCCCCAATGTCCCTTAGTGCTCCTAAATAAACATTTTCCTCTCCTAGAGACATTAGTTCAAAACAAAATCAATTTTAATGCTAAAAGTAAAGGAGAAGAGCTCTCAAACCAAGTCGACAATGTATATTTCGATGATTTGAGCTACCAACACAAGAGACAACAGTGGGAACGCCTATCAAAGATCTCTTTGGAGCACAGAGAAAGCCAAATTCCACACTGAGAAAAAGGGTGCAGAAGCAGAAGGTACAAGGACCCATAATATTTGAACTGAGAGCCCGAGCAGCCAAGGCGAATGCTGCTATGGTATGATTAGGCGGGTTCTAACATCTTCTCTTGCGCCTGTTAACCCGCGCCCATATGATGGCAGTGGGAAGTTTGAAACTAAATGGAACCCAACTAACCTTAAAAAGCGACGATTGTGGAATAAGTCAAGAAAGTCATTGATTGAATTAGGATTGGACTTAGAGCTAGCAGTAATTTGAATATGTGGAAAGATGTGGCCCAAATAAAAGAATGGCTATCGCTGTTAGGGTCTGTGAGTTTTGTAGCCATCGATTTGGTGAAGGAATTTTAAACACAGTTCACCCTCATGCGAACGTAGTGACAATACGAGGAAAGAACGTTTGTTTTGATGTTGCTCAAATCAATCAATTTTATAATTGACTATCGAATGCCTTTGGGAAACTGGATATTAGTAGACCCATCTGAGGTGCAACTTGATAAGGTGGTGGATATAGTCGGGACGCCATTTTCCACATGGGCATCTCAATGATTGGCTCCCATAAGCTTAGACCTGAGGATATTTCTACAACAACGGCTATTTGGTTGTATGTGGTAAATAATCAAATCATACCAACTGAGCATGATCAGCACATCATTTGTGATCGAGTGCTACTAGTTTATGACATGATGAAGTGGTTCCTAATTAATTTTAGAAGGCTTATTGAGGGAGTAATCCACAAACGTACAATGGGGAGGGAGACGAAGTAATGGGCAATTGAGGAGACACAAGAGGTCTCAATTGCCCTCGAAGACCACAAATTTGAGCATACCTGGTCTTTGAATGATGTTCATTTGTTGCCATCTCTCCTAGAAATAAATTGAGATGATGGGGGAGAAGTTCTACCTTTAGACAGGGAATTTGAGAATAGCTAAATGATGGACAAGTTTTGCTCCAAATTAGTTGGAAGTTACGATTGGACATAAGGATTTTGGGGTTGGAAGTTACGATTGGACATAAGGATTTTGGAGGGGCAATGTCTGATTTTGAGTGTAAATATGTTGGAATCTTAATGGAAAGGTCGGGTAATTGAAGGGTACGAACTATAAGCGAATAAGATAAAAATACGAATGATATATACTTGTTGGAGTAACCCCGCTGTAGGGGTTGAAAAGTGGTTCAAATGCCGCTGAAAAGTACCCCAAATAGGTGGATTTTGAGGCTGGACCAATGACTACTATATTGACTACTCATTGGTAGGGATGTTAATTTTCTCCATGGGTCCCATCCCCGTGGGGACCCGCCTAAATGGGAGTGAGGAATCCCTGTTTAAATTCCCCACGGGGCGAGGATGGGGAAAAGTTTTCCCCACCACCTAAATGGGGACGAGGACGGGGACGAGGAATACGTTCCCCATCCCCATTCCCCATTCTCGACCCCACATCATTTTTTTTAATATTTATATATACACATATACACACAAATAATTATATTATTCTCTTTAAATATATATGTAAAAAAAAACATTTACGGTTCTCTACCCACCTACCTAACACATGTATTTGAGAGAATTAGACTTTATTAATTAAACAACTAAATAAATTTTCTTTAAGGAAAAAAATATTTATTATCAAATAATTTAAAACATAAAAAAAGAAATAGGGAAAATTTCCCCGCGGGGAACCCGATCCCTATGAACTCCTCGTAGGGAATCCCCATCCCGATCCCCACGAAATTACGTCGCGGGGAATTTCACGGGGATGGGAAATTAAATGGGAAGTGGGGATGGGGATGAGGAAGCCTTCCCCGTCCCCATCCCCGTCCCCATCCCCGCCCCTCCCCATGAACATCCCTACTCATTAGGGCTTGTTGCAACATCAAATTAGCAAAAAATGTCGAAAACTCCTATCTATTGCTGTTGGGTGAAAATTTTGGATATTGTGAGGCTGTAAATTTCGGATATTGTGAGGCTGTAAATTTGAATTGACATTATGGAGGATGATGATGGAAAATAAGTGTTTTGGATAGAAGAAGCCATAGATGATCAAAGAAACACGGAGGAAGAAGAATGGAGGCTAGTTCTTCTTATCTGACATTCTAAACAATCCTAACTCATTTGACCCATCTAACATTCTAAAAATACTATCTTAGCCTAAACAATCTAACTACAAGTAAAATTTTGAAAATGAAAACAAAAGAAAACTAATCCTAACTCATTTACCCAAAATCCTTTTAAAAATATCAATTAAACAAGGGAAAAATATATTTTTTCTCAATATCTTAGTTTTCTAAAAGCTAAATAGAGGCTTCCCCTATCTAATTTTTCTCCAAAATATTTTTTTACAAACTCGCCATTAATTTTAAAAATATTTTCTTTTAAATCCGCAAGTTCAATGACACAGTAAGGGAAAATTTTTAAATTTTAAAAGGTCCAAGACCACTTGAACTTTAGTTTCCCAAAAATAATTTCAAACGATTAGCTTCCTGAAAAATTTTCGCATTTTCATAAGAGAATTTCTATGCTCCATAAATTCCATCAGTTGGAGCTTCCTTAACTCACTTGCAGAAGAAAGGTCAAAATTTAGTTTCTTTGTTGTCCAAAAAGCTTTATACTCTAATTCAAATGGCAAATGACAAGTTTTTATGAAGATCAGTCTATAAGGAGACATGCCAAAAGGAGTCTTATATGTTGTCCTATATGCCCACAGAGAATCATCTAACTTTAAAGACCAGTCTTTCCTATTATGTAGTTCACAAGGTTCACGTCAAGGAACTTGCAAAATCTTAAACTTGTATCATAAAAAATTAGTTAAAGGACATAGTACTAAAAGTTGAATTTATATATACATTGTATCACAAGGTTGAATAGGTCGAAATCAATTCAAGTAAGCTAATACATCATTTAAAAAGTCGTCATATGTTATGCTACCTCCCAAAACTCCACATTTGTATATGGTTTGTGTCTCATTCCACTAACCACCATAATTCATAAATATGCGAGGCATTTAGTATGGAGAATAGACGAAGCCTGATAAAAATAATTTAGAAAACGAAGCAATATTACGTGTCAAACTCAGGCACGAACTACACCAGACTCACCCGAGATTCTTATAATTTGAAGAATTCTAAAAAAACTCATAAGAAACTCGCTAGAGTTTTAACCAAAAATGATGAAACTGTTTAAAACAAATAAACTTGGGTGAGTTTATTATGAGTTTAACCCGAGTTCATTTAGTCCATAACACAAATAAAGAAAGAAAATCACAGTTCGAAAACAAAACTCATGTGTAAAACAAACTGTTGAAAGTGACGAAGTTTATTCAACCTTGAAAGTATGAACGTTCTAAGTAAACGTGGATTGCTTTGAAAGGTGAAAATGACGTGGAAGGTGTGAGATTTTGAGAGGATAACGTCAAAATTTTGGGATTTGTTTTTTCTCTAAAATAATTGATAAGCACATATTGGCTGGTAAAAATTTAATACTTGATAAGTAAAAGTTGGTGAGTAATTGGTTGGTAGAATTTATTAAAACCTGAGTGAGTTTATGGATTACTCCCCCAAGTTTTGTGGGTTACATACCATTAAACTCGTCCATTGAAAAAAAAGGTTTAGGGCGAGTTCACATAAACCCAAGCAAGGTTTGCTTTTAACTCGCTCAAGTTTGTAATACCTTAAGTTCTTAAAATCACCCATGAACCAATAGTTTAGGGCGAGTATGCTTAAACTCAGGCGAAGTTTCTTTATACTTGCCCGAGTTTTATCACCTTATTTCTGCACAGATTTTACATCAAAAATAGGAGTAACATCGAACATTCACCTTCAGATAAAGTTTTTTTAAGTTCAAAAAAAATAAAATTCAAACTTTAGGTCCATTTTCTAAATCCAAAAACATTTTGCGTCACTTTGGTGAATTTAAAATCTCCAACGGCTAGTTTAAAATAAGGGGCA